CGGTTGGCTGAACGTAGAGCAAAATTTCCACTCTCTTCCAAAACATGTAATGTTATCAGTCATCCTATATTAGTGGTGCCAAGAAAAATGGAACAAAAGTTACGACGGTAAGAAGAACCACACCAGAGAACAGGTTTTCAACCAACTTTATTGAATAATGGATTCAGAACATGTTAAGAATTGGAGGAAAGAAGTTTCCACCTATGGAACATCACGCAAAGCACAATATTAAATGAACAGTCTTTTGGATGCAGACAAGGGTTATCTTGAAAGAAAGGTAGAAAGGACTGTTAGAAAAGTGTGCCCTCTCAGAACAAAGAGGGAGGAAAATCTTGATATTAAACAAGATTAGACAAAACAATTAAACAAGATTACTACATTTCAGCCTTTCAGGCCTTCAAAAGGCTTCCTGTCTAAGTGAGGGCTTAAAAAGGAACTCAACAGCATTTAAACAAGAGTATAACCCATATATCATTCCCGTATGTATACAGTTAAAATATATATCTGGGAAGCAACGTACAAACAGTTTGAGTGTATTAAAGGCCCTTGAAAAACCTTAATGAGATTGAGACATTGCATTAAAAGTGTGTCACTAGGTCCTCTCTTTAGCATTCCGGTTCCCCTCAGCCTCAGCTAGTGTGGAAAACAATCAGGCAATATGGGATTAGAGCAGGGGGCCGCTGGAGGCAGAGTCTGGGTGAGGATTGGCTGCATTAGATTTTTTTTTTTAAAAAAAACCTCACAGAATCCCCTTGCCAAAGGAGAAAAGCCCCCATCGGTACCTGCGAAATTAAACAGTATGGGACGCCCCCCCACAGGTGCGTGCGTGTGCACGGACGCATGCACACAAACACATACACACAGGTCTGGCAACCTTCCTCTGAGGGCCTCCCCTCAAAAAAAGGCACACTCAGCAGCAGCCGCTACCCCCACCACGACAGGGGTGGGGCAGCGGGGCCTAGGCAGCCTCTAGAGCTGAGGTGGCTGAAGCAGGACGAAGAGGAGGAGGAGGAGGAGGAGGAGGAGGAAGCACCACCTGGCGCTGAGGCGGCCGCTGGCTGGGCTGGTGCTGGGGTTGCCAAGAGAGAAAGAGAGCCAGAGAGCCACTTCCCTGGAAGAGGGGGCGGCGGTGGCAGCTGCTGTTGGCTGCGCTGTTGGAGGCGCTCTTCAAGGACGAGCCGGAAGCGAGCTGCGCTCTCAGGCATCACTCGCCGGCTCTCTCCCAAGACAGCGCCTCTTGCACCGTCCATCCGGACCTGCAGCCTGCCAGCCAGCCTGCCTGTCTTCCGGCTGGCAGGCTGCAGTTCCGGATGGAGGGGGGAAGAGGCGCTGTCTTGGGAGAGAGCCGGCGAGCGGGGCGGGG